TGGGTTTTCATAACCTGTACGCCATAATCATCACAATTACACCAAAGTAAGGCTCGACATATCTCGCTTTGCATGTAATGCGTCCATCTCATATATTGGTTTCACCTTTTGAGTTGCCTTACTAACATAAATGAACATTTGCACGATATTCTAATTTTTCAAGTTTCACCTGTATAGTGACCAACTCATTCTACAGCAAATTTATTTTGGAGTTAGCTTTATATTTCAAGATCAATTGTCTGTTTTTAAATACAAATGAGACGATCTTACAGGAGTATGGTCGGGGAAAGTGCATGATAGAGCAGTGGTGTAAGTAATTACTTCATTACATTTTGGGTGGTCTTACTCTATTTTTTATCCTGCAATTTTGTAGCTAGTTCTTGTTCCAAGAACCTCCTCCTCTTAGAGATTACAAGATACTCCAGTTCCAAGCATCCTATTCCTCTGAAATACAGAACTCATATAACTCATTGGGAATTTGATAGGCCACTTTTTAAAGCAGCACACAAATGGTATCACCGGGGAAACTGGATTGGGCATGATTGGTCAATAAGGAAACAGAGAAAATTGCACTGGTAAAATGAGTAAGTCCAGTGAGTCTGATGAAATGATCTACTAAAAAATATGGATCAGTTAGATCCCGAGCATCACCAAAATACAGGAATCAAGTTACACTATGGTTGCAGCCATTTTGTTATTTGAAATGAAAATTATTCTTAACTAATGTAATAACATTTTGTCTCTAAAGTATAAAACCAAGCTAAGACAGAGGCTGATAGCTCAGTATGAAGAGTAGATTATACATCTCTAATATTATAGATGCCTAAAACTGAAAAGAAAAAAAAAACAGCAACATCTAGCAACAGTAATTGAATGAATAATCAAATTTCTCTTCTCTATATCCTACTATGAAATATGACATTTAGTATAAGATATACTTTTATGTCATTCCCTGCTGATCCATTATTTCCCATTTTCCCTTTCTCACTCCATTCTTTTGTGCTTGGTACAGGTAGTCCTCAACTTACAAACAAAATAGGGACTGGAAAATTAATTGTTAAGTGGTGCAGTTGTTAAGCAAATCACATCATTGTTAAGTGAATCATGAGGTTCCCCATTGATTTTGCTTGTCAGAAGCTGGCTGGGAAGGTCGCAAATGGTGATCATATGACTCCTGGTCACTGCATTTGTCATAAATGCATGCTGGTTGCCAAGGAGCTGAATTTTGATCACATGACCAGAGGGACGTTGCAATGGCCGTAAGTGCGAGGACTGGTCATTAAGTAACTTTTTTCAGTGCCTTTGTAACTTCAAATGGTCACTAAATGAATGGTCATAAGTTGAGACTACCTGTATAGAATTCTATTATTATTATTATTATTATTATTATTATTCACATCAGTCCATTATGACTCTGGGCAGCTTACAAAATACAACAGTAAAGACACAATAAAAACACAGAATGTTATCATTCACATACAGTGACTGTTGTAAGGCTAAATCTTACCCTCACATACATCGAATTCAGTGACACCTACCTCTGAGCAGATTTGTATGTGAGAGGAGAAGAACGGAGGTTCCTCAAGGCCCCCAATTGCTATTCCTTTCTTCATGCTGGAGGATAATGGAAATCACTGTTCCTTATACCCTCTTAGAAACAGCAGGTCTTTTAGGGCCCTTCTTTTCCCATCATAGAGAAAGGGACTGTCAGGACCCACTCCTGAATCTTGTCAGTCTCAGACATGCTGCTGCTCTTCCTTTCCAGGAAGGGAGGTAAAGCATGGAAAAGGCAAACCTACTGAGGGAGTTCTGCCAGGAGCTCCAGCAGTGGTGATGAGGGAGCCAGGGAGGTGGGACCCACTCAAGGTATCACAAGCTGAATAAGCTATCCGGAGGTATTAGAGAAGGGCCTCATCCCTGGTGCATGAGAGCTATTAAAAGATAATCTTACCAGTTTCCTGACAACATACTGTCTTCTTCATAATACTCATCACCGCTAAAATATTCCTGATCATCCAGATAACAATCATCATTATAATAATCTCTAATTTCATTATCTTCTCGACAAATTGTGGGTAGATGCCTATCACCCGATTCTGACCTATAGTTAGAATGTAGAGATATTTTTATTACTTTTCATATAAACACTTATATGAATCCTCCCTACATTCCCTCCCTATATTTTCTGAAGGCTGATTAGAAAGAATTTAAACCAGTGCAACAATAAAAGCATTTAAAAGAACAAAAGTAAGATTTAAAAAATACCAAAAAGATATAGTAAAAGTCGACAGTGCGTGTAATGTAGTCAAGTAGACTTTACTATACTTCCTGTAGAGTGAATGCCTTCCTAAAAGAAAAAGTTCAACCACTGACAAAGGGCTACCAGAAAGCCTCCTGAGGTTGAGGAGTTCCACAGCTGGGACAGGCTGAGAAATTTTACTCTCCTTTTGCCTCTCTATCCATCTGCCTCTTCTTCCCCATCTTTTTTCTTTTTTCAAAACACAGTTGTGACTTAGAGGTGGATGTTACCCATCAGCTGAATAAAACTAATTTGATTTACAGCTTCCCCTTATACCCCTCCAGTGATGTCAAATAAAAGAAACCCATGCTGCAGTTTCATTCTATATCTCATTTCAGTAAATTGGCTGCCACTTACAGGGAGCAGAAGATTAAATGTGATGGTGTCATAGGGACAATCTGATAGATGCAAAGGGAATAGAAATCAGTGGTGGGCACATGAGGTTATTGGGTTTTAATAATTACTGGTTTTAGTCTAATTCTAGAAGGGCCATAATGTTCTGCATAATTTCTAGAAGCATCAAAATACAAAATGGATTATAGGAATGGAAACCATTTGTCCAACTTGTCTATTCTGCTGAAAGTTGGTTTATATGGTTTCAGACAAGAATTTTCCAGCCTTATTTGGAGATGCCCTCCGCTACCACTATGACATCCCTTCCTGAGTCCCTCACAAAAATGTACATTAAAGTCCTCTGGTATTATAAGATCAAGAGGCAGCCTTGCAATTCTAGTCCTGACATTGTGTATAAGAATGCATCCCCAACTATGACTACAGAAGAGCCAAGCTCAATGTTATGCTCAACACATGGGTCAAAGCTACTTACATATCATATGCTATGTTGAAGGCCAGGGTACATATCCCTAAATTTCATGCTTTGACATCATCTGTTAAGATAATGTCTGAAATGGCTTATATGATTTGTTTCTGATGTAAATTTTATTGAACCATAAAGTGCTGTTTTCCACGATATGACCTTGTATATACTTACCTAATGTAAGTTTCATAATAACGAGATCTATTACTGTAGAAGAAAGAATATGGAGAAAAAAAGTACAATGAATTTTAATGAAATGATGAGAAAGTAAATTCTATATTGTACTTATCAATGGATACATTTGTATCAATATATCTACCAAAAACCTTCCCACAGGATTTAATTCATCAATCAGCATGATGAAAGAAAGAAGCAATGATTTGCTTTATTGATTTTTAGCTTATCTCTTTTAGACAACAACTTTCTAATTGTGCAACAGTCTAACCATTACTTTTGTTGAATTTATCTGATTTTAACTTGACTCTAATCATGAAAATCAACAGTCTTTCACTTAGAAGTTCCCATGGACATTTGTTAAATCTGATGGCCAAGAGAATGACAGTAGTTGAATTAAAAAAATATGTAAACCATATCCTGACTTGTAAACTACAAGTGGATCACACAAGTTATGTTAAAATTAAACTAGACAATGAATAAAGAAGATAATCAAAGATATGTGTTCAAGATGTTAAAACAAGGAACCCAAGGATTGGAATTTTCAGTGAAATATAACATTTTAGTTTATATTATAAAAATATATATTCTGAATATAAAAGTCATGGAATCAAAGCACATATTCTCATATCTATACATATATTGGGATTTACCTCCTTTTGGATGATTGTCTACGTTGCTCATGGTGATCATTTCTGGAGTATGAATGGTTCCCAGTTTCCAGCGTATGCTCATGACTTCCAGTGCTTGTATGTTTTCTGTTAACCACTTTGGACACGTTTGCATTATTGAGGTTAGCATTTGTAGAGTTTGGAACTTGTTTCCCTGCTGAGTTGTGGTTGTGATGGCTATGATGATTATGGAATAAAGAGTTTCCTGTTGGAGGATGCACATTTTTCTCAGTAGTGTCCACCATACATGAAATCAGTGGCCTTTGCACATGCAGAGGGCGATGTGTAGTATTGATCTGTTGAAATGAATCCCTTGTATCAGTGCTAACATGATTTATATGGTTTCCAAACAGGGTACCATTTCTCTGTAATATAAAAATTAATAATCAGTTAATAATATAATATTAGCTTGCATGTCTTCATGTGCATATGAAGTGTGTGGTTCACTCAGCATCCTCAGATCAGGCAGTTACATAGTCATCATACCCTGTTCTAAACAGCTTCCCATGATCACAGCAACTATATCACAATGCCATTGAAAACATGCCAAGAAATTACTATTTTGTTAAACTATTCACACTCATTATGCCATACATACCCAGATTAACATGCCTGCAGTTAACAGCTAAGCAAAATATATTACTCCAAAGCATAACTAAAGTGTTTATAAGCTATATTATAAGAATTTGTTGTCACTTGTTATTACAACTATATGATAAAGTCATTCCATAAATACAGTGACAGAGCAATAATTTTGGAGTTCTGCGATTTTGTTCTCAGAGAAGAGGAAGTTATCCTTAATTCCATCTGCCAACTGTGTGTCTGTAGCTGACTATCCATGTAGCTATATCTATATCGAGATATGGCGGTTCGTATAGTTAAGTATCTGACTTCCCTGTTAGAAGAAAGTTTATGAGGTTTTTTTTACAACCAACCAAGAAGGTACAGTCTAAGCAGAGTTAAAAGCAAGATAGGAGTGGTATTTCTTAGAACTCAATCTGGAGAAGACAGAAACAACAATAAGTGGCAGAAGGAACAGCCCTGAAGGACTTAGTCCTCATTAGTTCTAATAATGATAGCTCTGTTCTCAGTTAAATGGGAAGAATAATTTCTGTTCAGTTGTCAGAATAGCACTGCTGGATTACTTCAGCTGGATGCCTCTGGAAATTCCAAAGATAAAACATGGAACTTGTTTTATGCTGGGTTTATCCCCAGCATTGTATTCAGATACTTATTACCCCTGTACTTAGCATCCCCACATATCTCCTTATACAAAGCTTGTGATTTAACAAATCCTCAGTTTAACATACCTTAGTTTAGCAGACTATACAGTAGATAACATTTTCATTCAGGCAGCACCCTGAAATAGCAGACTTGCCTATTATTTGGGTAAGCAGTCCAAACAGTGACTGCTGCTACTTCTAAAAAAAGTGGGCATGGGCCTATGCATACTTCATATCTGAATTCATGATAAGAGAGGGAAAATTCTAGGAAGATTGGGAGTGGAAGATAGCATGACAGGAGAAAATATGGACCAACGTCATTGTTTTGAGACTCCTGGAATATCTTAAACTACAACAAAGGCATAAAACAGTCCCTGTTCTCTCAATCTAAAGATGCAACATTTAAAAAAAGAATGGAAAGGAAAAAGCAAAACAAACATAGGCTACAATTTTTTTAAAGTTAAATAGTAGAACCTGAGGTGACCAGCTGGAATGGAAACAATCCAGAGAGATAAGCTGTCTTTCAGCAGAAATGCTTCCCATTTCTCACAGTTGCTGTCTGATGGAAACGTTGCTGCCAGGTGACCATCAAGGGAATAGTTTAACAAACCTTATAGAAATCATAGAGTCAATCTGTAAGCCTCTTGTCATCTGCAGGTACAGTCATAGTCCAGCATTTTCAGCTGACCAATGGGTCCAAAGGAAGGACAACTTCCAGTGCCAGAAAATCCACTGATTACAACTGTAAACATACTATTAGCACTGAAAGCTGTTCTTCCCTAGGTATGGGGCAGGATCATTGGGACAGTCTGCATTTAGCCACAGCTTCTTGCTGGCTATTCACATATCCACTCAGACACCCAAGCAAACATTTTGTTTTAGTGAATAGATAAGTAGAGGATGAGAGCAGAATTTCTCATAGGAAAATGTTGTCACAGGAGAAGGAGGGGCTATTGAGCTGACATCAAAAGTGGAGTCTTAAAAAAAAGAGGATTCTAGAAAGAACTGAAAAGAGAACTTTGACAGAGGAGGTATAATGGCTGACATCTAAGTCAGAACTAGATAGTGGTTGTTGTTGAAAATTTGGACTGTAAACTTTGTTGTAATATTGGCTTGTGCATCTACATTGGATCTGGCAGCGTTATAGTGCCGAAGACTTGCTGGTTTAAAGGCAAGTCTGGAGAAGATTGTTGAAGAGAGTTGTTGGGTGAGACCCAGAAAAAGACTCACTGAAGAACCAAAAAGGAGAATGTGCTGTGAGACTTTTTCTACTCAATACAGATTTAAAGGTTGAAGAGAGATGGAAGAGGTCAGCAATCAGAGCTGAGGAAGGAAGCAAGAATGAATGCAGCCAATATATTCCTTGTCTTTGAAGGAGGATGTGAGTGGAGTAACTAGGAATAGCTAGGTGTACATATTTGTCAGTTCAACATTATAGCTTGAAAACATATGCAGTTAGAGCAAACTCAGGCTACAATGTTGAGTACAGAAAAAAGTTGTGTTACACCTTTTTAATCACAAGATGTTGCAGGCAGGAGAAGGAGGGAGAGTGGGAATGGCCTTTCTCATAACTCTTGCTGAGAAATGTGGTGAAATCCAAAAGTACTTTGCTTGCTTTGATGTGTTTTCTTAATATACGGTAAAAAATCCAAAATAATTTGATGTGCCTTTCATCAAATTCTGGGAACTCACAGAAGCCTTATAAGTGCTTATAAACATTATCATCCTAGCATGATCCTCAGTTGCCAGTTGCCCATGTGGAAGATACCATAAGCATGATGATGGATTGATTTAGTTGGCAGCCCTTTGAGCAAAACAGAGTAGGGACTATGCCCCATCTTCTGACACATCTGCAAAGGGAACACTAGTTCAGAAGTAGCTTGCATTCACTAACTAATTTCAATTTCAATTAGTTTTAGTAGTATAGGAGTTACTGTTTCTATATTCCATATCTATTTCACTTGTGACATCGTTTCTTACTGATGACCATGCTTGGAAACCAAAGGAATTCATTTGCCAAAAGTAGAAGACTGCCTCAAACTAGAGCTTTCAAGAATCCAATATTAATTAAATCACAGGAGATTTAAAATGCCCTATTAACTGGTTCGCACGTAAGACATCTATAATGAAATAGCTGGGAAATGAATGGAATGCACTGAATATTTTGTGGGGAAAAACTCTTGCATTTGCTTAGCAAAAGAAAAAAAGGCTATTTTATAAGTTGAAGGCATCCTATCATATAGCCATTTACTTTATATACTTCCTCTTCCTCATGGTGATTTTGTTCTGGTTCATCCTCTTGCAAATCACAGGATATAGCTCGCCGAATTTCAGGTCCAATATCATGAAGAGTTCTAAGCCCAGCCTAAATGTGTAAAACATAACCAAAGCATATTAGAAATGAAACACCTTCTTCTTTTAAATTACTCATTTAAAGGATTTACGGCAAGAGGTCTTGCAAGCAAATGGGGCTGACATGGAACTTATATTGTTTCCATGCCAGTCCAGGAACTTGCAAACTTTTCCAACTACATAGTTCTACTTTCCTGGTCTAGAATCCTACTTCTAGATTTGTAAACATACCAGAAAAGAAATAAATCGGAAATCTTTATAATAAAAAAGGAAGCCTTTTTTAGGCCTGGGGCCATTTTTTTTTTAATATATTGCTTCTAAGAATCACAGACATTCTGGCATCATTTCATCCTGTTTTGGGGATGGGGGACTTTTATAATCAAAATGGGTGTATTAGTTTTGCAGACCTATTATCTCTGCCATTTTTACAAAAAGAGACAGTGAGCCTGCAAAGATAATGCTGCTAAAACATATTCTGATACCAATTTCTAGTAGCATACTCTTTGCTGGATGACTGCATATGGCTCACAGATGACCATCTCTGCTTTTAATATAGTATAACTAGACTAGCATGGGATCAGTCATGGACATTGCAGCACGCTAGTAAAATCTAATGATGCAAGCCTCGCAAACCAGTATTAAATTGAAATTCAAAAGAAATTGGAAGACCTCAATTTCACCTAAGACATAGCACTTCCCACACAAATTTGAAATCCTAGACTGAGAATTTGAAAAAAAAAATCTTGGCAAAGGCTATGGCAAACCAGTTTTGTACTGCTGCCAGAAAAATCTTCATGGACACAATCATCAAGTCTAAATTTCAACTTGGGGGAATCTTCACTTTTTTTTAACCCACAGATGTATCGTACTATGCTGGAATAGGCATAGTAATAACATGAGTTCCACCAGATATAAATTCTATTCAGGAATTCCAAAACATAGCGTGAGCATGACAGGGATGCACATTCTTCCCCCACTCTACTCTCACTAGCCACATATACTGTGTGTTAACAGGCACTGTCTAAGGACAAGTATAACCCTATTTAACTGTACATGATTGCAATGTTTCATAGGGTTATCAAAACCTGACTGTGTAGGTTTCCAATTGCATGGAGGATCAGAAATATGCCCAGTGAATACTTGGATTTTTTTTTCTTATAAGTAATAGCACGTACATATCCATATTTACTCATCCTGCAAAATAAATGCTTAGAACTTATGTGATTGCTTAAAAAAGTAGATTTTACCCAATTGTTGCATTTCTAGAGGGATTACAGAATACTTCTATAACAGGTTTATCAATAAGAGTAAGAAGTAATGATCAGTGACTCATAACATCGTATGTTTCTTGCATAATAAAATATGATGAAATAACCATACAGCATCACACTACATTCCTTTTTACCAAGAAAGTCAACAGTTTCATAATTCTCTCTTTTCATAATATATAATTTCCATTTGTTTTATGTATCTGCTAAAAGAAAGCTTTATATTTATCTTAACACAGATAGAACTTTCCTTGTTGGACTTCTGAACAATTATAGTAAAAATAATTTTTGGTTGGTTACAAAGGCACCACAATGAGTATCACAACCTCTTTTAGAATTGGCTATAATGGAAAGTAAATGTGAGGTTCTTTCAACTACTGAGCAGAAGAAGAATATGGATATCTATTTTCAATCATTCTTCAATAAATCCATGAAAACTTCCATAAATGGCTGAGCACATATATCACCCACAACCCCATATTCAAGAGGATCTTTTAAAACTGGAACATCTTCAGTCTTGCATTACTTTATCATTTATTCTTCCTGATTCTTTGATAAAAATAATGCTACCAAGATCAATCAATCAATTTTTAGAAGCAAATAAGGAATAACATATTCAACACCTAACTTCCAAGGGTTCAAAAGAAAAAAGAAAAAAAAGCTTCAAAAGATGTTTTCAAATAATTGACAAGAAATCATAAAAACTCTGTGAAATAGCTTAGTTTTTACTAGTTACCCAAGAGGGAGGGCACCATACAGATCATCAGAGGAAGGCTATTTCATGAGTAAAACATTGACTTTGCCCACCCATGTCAAAGCAGGGGAGGGGGGTGTCTCTCAACATCCTATTGGGGATCTGTAGGCTGGATGGATGGCATGGAGACATTCCTAAAGATATTGGAGCACCAAACCTTGTAGGGCTTTCTAGATGAAAGCCAGCACCCTTTGAACTGTTCTTGGGAGCCTATTAGTAACCAATGCAGAGCCCGAAACACTAGCATTATGTCAGTACAAAGTCTCTCATCTGCCAAAATGCAGGGTGCTGCATTTTATATCAAACACACCTTCCAGGTAGTCTTCAAAGGTAGTATATACTCTATACTTTTAGAATATATTTCAGTTGTCTATTCCAACATGGGATGAGTTACTGTTGCCAGGGCCTGTTTCTACTGGCACACCAGCCAAAGCTGGGCAAAGTCTTCAATAGACCCAGGTTCCACCTATTTATCTAGCAGTAACTCAAGTCTAGGATAACCCCCAAATTATTATGCCATGGTATCTTGAGTAGGCCTCTGCAAATCAATCCTGTTTTGATTTGAATTGAAGACCTGAGATTCAGGACATGAGCCAGTTTGAACTTATAATTTGATCTTCTTCAAGAATTGATTTGAGGGGAAAAAATCAATAGTCTATAGGGAAGCATCAAAATACTTGTAACACTAGTCATTTGTCAACAGAATAGGATGAAAATAAATAAGGATACTATATCCCTTGGATCATATTAACCATGCCAGGTTTTAGCTAGATGTCTTCAAAGACTTGACTGCATTGTTTAAATATTCTCCCTGTGACTCTTTTAAGGAAGAGGTAGCCAGGATAAGGAAAGGACATCTCAACCAGTCTCCAAACTGTCCAGCAAACAACCCAAGTTAACACAAATAAAGCCATCAGGCTGCTAAAAAAAAGTTGGGCTGCTCCAAAACAGAAGCATTTTCAACTTTCAAAGATTTCAACTTAATTTGATAGCCATAATTACTTTATCAGATCAGGGTAGGTTGTTCTGTAACACACAAGATTATAACTTAAAACTGACATGATAATTCAGTGCAGCTGTGCTTTGGAAGCATCATGTTACCAACAATTTACAATGATGTTAATCACTAATACACCCACGCTCTCCCAACACAACTTCTGCAAACACAAATATTGTTTTTCCTTTGAAAAATAAAATAGCAAAATAAATACACACATCTATTCTTTTAAATTTCCACAGACAATTAAATACCCTTCATAAATAAAATGCATTTCATTATTACCAAATGTCATGTTTACCTGATACATTACTAACAAGAAACCATACTAACTCACACAGATTTACAAGAATTACATTTAAACCCTAATTCAAACAAGGCTCTTGCAATTATAAAATCTAAATTTTAAAAAGATGTATGTGTTTGAAATCAGGTTTAATTACTGCCAATCCATTTCCTCCCCCTTCTGTATAAAGATAAACAATTAGATCTAGGTAGGTGATACTTGTTAATGCACTCACAATAAACACTAATAAACTCACACATCTCTTACAGGCAAATATAGATTGTTGAACTTACCTCTACAATAAATTCTTAACCAATATTAAGGATCTATATTGGTTAAATAAAATTGGTTCTAATTGCTACAAACGCTGTAGTTTATCAATAACAGGGAATCTTGAGCTGTCAGATTTTATGGCTCAACTCACACAACTGCTGTAGAAGTGCAATTTAAAAACAACATTCAAATAATAAAACTCACCAAAATGTTAATATTCAGAAACTGGAGTAAATGCACATAACATTTAATCCTGATGTTAGTGAATATTCAGGAGTCTCCTACCCTTTCACTAAAATAAATGCTGCTTGGTTGACTGTTTTTTAAAAAATACTATTCTTTGTAAATCTGAAAACAAAGTAGAAACCAATCAAGCAACTGGTGATACAAGTTTACAACAAATACAAATATCTTAAATAAGAAAAAGCTATTCTAATATTTTTGGTTTCACTTACCTGAGCTGCTTTATACCACAGGAAAGTTTCTTTACAAAGCATCACTATCTAATAAAACACTATAAAATGCAGTATTAAATCAGTTAGGACACCCACAATTCTGGATTACACACAATCAAAACATTAAAACATGGGGCACCTACACTGTAGCAGTGAATGTAAGAAACGTAGTAGTCAAGTCCAGAAACCACCGTGCCATTAGCCTTCACAGAGCCCATCCTATCTCAGTGCCTAGAAGCTGTGTCCCCTTCACGCTCCTTACACAAAGGAATCTGTGTTCTATTGTTAAACCCTGTTCAGCTGAGCCTCAGTGTGAGCCCAGTATGAATGGTGCAGGCCAATGAAGTAAAAGCACAATGACGTGCAACCCCCTTTGCCTTTGATAACCATTGAAAACCGCTTTTGAATGTCATCATTATATGTTATTACTGTTATGGTAGCTAATTGAGGGTTATAGATACTTCACAAAAATAGCAAAGCTTTGTTAGCTAGAACTGCTTTTTTGATATTTTACAAACTGCAACGCCTCTTTCTTTTATTTTACTCTGCAATCAACCAGGTATTGATCATCTGTATATACTTTCTCCGGAGAAGTCTAATTAATGGACAACTGTCGTAAGCACTGGCCATTCATTTATGCTCTGCTAAATGCTAATTTTGCAAATGCCATTATGAGTGTTGAGCATTAATTTAACTTCCCTTTATTAAATTGGCTTGCTTTTTAAATAAGATAAGGAACAGAAACACATTGAGTCAAAATTAATGAGGGTAGATAATACTTCAGGCCTAATTTACACATCATCAAAAATATCCTTCCCAACTCAAATATTGGACCACAATTTCCTTTAGCCAGCCAATGGCGTAATTGGTTGGGATTGACAGGAGCTATGGTGCAACACACTTGGAGGGCACCAGGTTAGGAAAACAAACAAACTAATCATTCAAACTGAAGCAAAAGATTGCCAAACTTCCTAGCCACT